ATGGGAGAGGGATACTACACCTCCAAGTGAAACCCAGATCCTGAGGTGGGAAAGCTCATGGCTGAAGTGCTGCTGGAAGTGTCTGGTGGTTATACCAAACTGTGCCAGATGCTCCATGAAGTTTTACTCCACAGATGGGTTGGTTGTGATGGCATCCTCAAGGTCCCAAGGCCTCTGTGCCCCTGCCTTCTAGTACATATTTGCAGTAGTCTTGGTTTGTTCTGGTATCTTGCATCAGGTTTCTTTTGGATTCTCATTTTTCGTCACAAATTAAATACCTGCTGTGCTTCCTGTGTGTAAGGAAGGATTCTGTTTTCATGGATTTAGGGCAGCCCAGGTGAGAGCCATTTCTTTGGGTCAGTTTGGTTGGCTGAGAGCTCTAGGCTCTAGGTAGGAGTGAATTCAGAGGTGAAGGTAGGTGAATTCAAAAATCTGAGATATGGAAGGAAAAATGCAGCACAGTGGGAATTTCTAAACCACATGGAGCAGGTTAAGAGCTACAAAGTGTAAGAGGTCAGAAACTAGAAAGCAGGTGAGAAGCTTCTATTTCAGCTGCAGGGCAGGAGGTCAGGTGCCTTTTGAAGGGATATTCAGTAACTGGGGAGAACAGGCAGCACTCGAGGCAGCAAAACATCGTGGTCACTGGTGAGTGAAGCTTGGCAAGGAATGAATAAGATGAGGAGGCATGGGAGGGTTGCCACAGGAGCTGCAATTATGATTTGATTAAATGAAGACACGGTTGAACAAACAGCTCTTTGGTGAATCGAGCTGTTGATCCAAGGCTGGAGATGAGACAGTGACGTTGGGGCGAGGAGGGGATTTCACCATGGACACTGAAAATACTAATTTGGAGGCTGTGAGTGATATTGCTGCCTGAATCTTCCCATTCTCTCCCTCAGTGTGTAGGAGAAAGTGGCTGGAAGAGGACACTGAGCACATAAACTTGCATTCAGATGTCCAAGATCCTCCAGTTTTTGACCATCTCCCGTGGCTCAGCACTGTGGACCCCCTGGGGTGGAATTGTTTGGCTTGCACTCTTCAAGACAAATAAAACAGGAGTGCAGAGTGAATAACTGGTTCTGAAACCAGTTTTCTGTGTTATTTCTGGTCACTGGCTACACAAAGTGTCCTACCCAGAATGTGTTTTCTCATGTGAGTTGTCTGGGTGTGCGGTGGGAAGCAGCACACACAGTCACCTCCACGGGTGTCACCTTGGTTCCGCTGTCCCACAACAGCTTCTTCATGCAGTTCTGGGGAGAAAGTTAAGTCTCAGTGGGAAAACCCAATGATTCTTTGTGTGTAATATGATACAACTCTCCCAGCTCCCCAAACCCACAGTCCTACTAACAGAGCTGTCACTTAAGTGACATATGATGTGCTCAGTCACTACAGCAATGCAATGGGATGTTCAAAATAGAGGAGTACTTGTGGTCTGTTTTATTCTGAACACAGATTCCATGTGATGTTCTGTGGTGTTAATATTCAGCTGCTAAAATATTCTGGAAGAGCTGTGCTCACTGGGATGCTGTCACTCATCCTCTAGGAGGTTGAAGAAGGGGTGACGAAAAGGCTGGTGCTTATTAGCTCTTCTTTCTCTGCAAATATACTCTGCAAATGACATTGAGCAACATAAATTTGGCTGTGGTTCATCTCATTCAAGTATATCCTTGTTCTGGTCCCATTCTTATGTAGGTCACATTTCCTGTTGCAGCTTTGCAATCCTTCTGCCAAAATCCTGTGTATTTAGTTTTCATTATCAGTATTGTGGAACATGATTTTCAGGTTTGAGTCTCATTAAATTCAGATCAATACTTACAGATAGCAGAGGCTCTGTCTTCCTCCTAGAGAAAGTCTTACAGCAAATATCCTGGGAATTTGGTGCACCACATTGCTGATGGAAATGTGGGCTCCAACGTTGGAATTTGGTCTTTTAACCCCTAGTGTCAAGGTGAGTTCTTAGGTGACTTCCTTACACATTCAAGGAATCAAGGCCAGAAGACTTAAAGTCACTAAGAAATCTGACAAGTTTTATCATCCGTTGGACTGAAATACTGGAAATATTAGAATTAGAGGTAATCAAAGTATATTACATATGTGTTACCTTTATGTGGTAAATACATATAAATGATAATTTTCCTTGTCAATAGCAGCTCATGAGATACTGAACAGCAGCTACACTTGTTAGCTGGCAGGTGTGGATTACTTGATGTGCAGTAACAGCTTCCATGGTCTTTGGTTGGCTGCATCTAATTTTAAATTGGGACTTGATATACTGAGAAAGTTGCAGGGGATGGGGAGGAGGCTTTGAAATGTAAGTCAGATGAGTAGAAGATCTGTGATTTCTTAGGTTTACTTCAGTTTCCCCTCTGCAGTGAAGAATTATATCATTAAGACAAATTACTAGATCATTAACTAATTCTTCACATCAGGGACTTTTTTGTCAAATATAATTTGTAGTCAAATTTCAGGTTTGATTCCCAAAGCAGCAATGTTGCTCTAGTGTCTTCCTGTCTGTGACTTCCTTAATAACTACACAATTCTCTTTTAAAAAAATGGAACTATGCAAACTAGTCACCCATGGGAAATGAGCTGAGAATTTGTTTAGCTAACATGTCTCAAAATGACTTGAGGAATCCTGATGTGACAGTTTTCACATCTAGGTGTGTACCATGGAGAACCAGTTTTTAGCCCTCACCTTCCTACATTTTTAATGATGCGCAGGAGAGCAGTAATTCATTATTGATTGAGTTTTCAGCTGACAGGTGGGAAGGAGCAAAGATGGAGCTGTGTGTACCTGTGTAAGGCTGGTGCAAGCCAAGGTGAGAGAACAAAAGGCATCAGTCAGTCACATCTGGTGTCTCTTGGGAAGCAGTTTGGGTAATTTACTGCATGCTCACAATACAACTGTCTAGACTGAAGATCTGATACAGTCCCTGTGTCTGTGAACATCCAAACAAGGATTTTGAGGATCAGGGAATACTTGGCATTTTGCTTTTGGGTCTGGCAGGACAGAAGTAAATGATCATGTGTGGTTTTGGTATCGTCAACTCAGAATGTGTCTGGTTGGAAGGTTAAACTGTAGGACCATAAGACTGGTCTTAGGTAAGTTAGGTAACTCGGTGGCTCAGGTAACTCGATGTGCTTAGTTAATACATACAAACCCAGTGAGGAACTTTGTGTTCCACAGGCAAGGTTTAATGGTTGAAACCCAAAATAGTCCATGTCCAAGCTATAGGTTATATGCAAAAACTTAATGGTGATACTGGAGAGCAGCAGGACACAGTTCAGTGAGCTTTATGGCTGTTGTGTGTGGGAGCTGAGAGCCAGGAATTGCAGTGATCTCCAGCCCAAACCTTCCCATCCCAGCCAAGCAGACCTTTGGCAGACTGTATCCATTCCTTCAGGCTTCAGCACAGCAGTGGCAGTTACTGATTATATGGAAAAGGAATATTTGTAAGGAATATGATATTTTTCATACTTCAGAAATGAAGCTGTTCTGGAAACTGTGCAGTTGTCTTTATCTGAACAGCTTAGCTACATGTGGCTAAAAGTGTGGATGGTAGAAGTTCCCTGGTTTCACTGAGATACAGCATGTGTCCCTGATGGGAATGTTTCACAGTGGTATTGCTACACATAACAGGACCACAGAGGTCCTAATCCTTTATCCATGCTGGGATTTATTCTCCTTCTGGATGTTGAAGGACACCAAGGATTTTGCTGTAGTCTAAAACACCTCTGGTAGGCAGGTACTTTAAGAAGTGGTAAATGTTTTCCTTTGTGGTTAGCAAATAACTGCTTCTATGTTCAGAGATTTGATCTTCAGATGTTTGCTTGTTGTACAGGTGTTAAGGTTCTCTTTGACTTCAGCTAAGTCATGTTTGTGTCCTTGGCCTGCATTTTGACACCCATCTCACGTCTTAGTGCTGCAGGACCTTGAAAGGCCAATTATTGTTGGGTTTTTTTGGTGTTTTGTTTTGTTTTGTTGTTTTTTTTTCCTGGCTGGAAAGCCTTTCCCTATTTGGAAGCTTGGCTTGGTGTTGGTAAAACAGAGGGATTCAACCTTCAGGTTCTTGCTTTACCTGTTGTCAAGACTTCTTGTCCATACACAGAAGTGTTTTGTCCTGTACTCCCTGCACAGGCTCAAATTTGCTTTACATCCTCCTCTTAAGGTACTGCCCAAATCGATTTCACCTAGTTCAGTTTTCTCTCAATTGTCTGTAATCCACTCCTTAACCAGATTTCACCTGTTCAGAAGACTCTGCATGTTTGCTAGGTTAATGAAACAATTTGGTTTAGACTCCTGTCCCTTTTGGATGATCAGCCAAAGGGGACTGTGCCACAGTGCCTAACTGAATCTGGTTGTGTGGCCAAAATAGTAGAGTTTAGCTCTCTTTAGTGCCCAAGTGATTTAGAGCTCTTGTTACTACAATTAAAAGTGTTAATGAAATCCCTCTTAAAACTCTCTATCTGAAGCTGCTGTAACATCTTCCTCCAGTGCTGAATTCTCAGTGTGAAGTTTGAAGCATATCCAGAGAGGACAGTTTTGTAAAGGATTCATTGGAGCTTCTTACCTCTTCCTCTTGAGGGTCGTGGGGACCTTTGTCTCTCTCTGTCTGCTGGAGGGAGGTTGTTTTCAGCAGGGAGCTGTGAGTCACCCGTGCTGCATCTGCAGTGCTTCTCCCTGCTCTGCACCTCTCTCTTCCACTTTGGGGGCACCCTGAGGTTTAGCACCAAGAGGTGGTTGAGCTCTGTGTGCTCCGTGCTCTGACAGTCTGACATCACAGTGCTGTTGTACCACCCCAGTGAGATCAGATGGCACAAACTTCCCTTAAAAATGCTTCATAATTCCAACTAGGTTGATGCTGTGCTAATTCCAAACCCAGATAATCCTCACCCAGGTTGCTCTCAACATCATGGCATATCTCTGCACAGTTTGTAAGACTCCATGAGGTGCCTTTGCAGTATAATTAAATGTCTCAACTCTCTTGTTTCAGGCTAGAAATCTTCATACAGGAGAACTGGCTGCTGTAAAAATAATCAAGTTAGAGCCTGGTAAGTTTTCCATCCTTTCCTGTATTTTTGAATTGCATTTTCCATGTGTTTATTTTCACACACTGTGAAGTTCTAGACAAAAGAAGTGTTTGGGGTTTGGTTGTTTGCAGTCAGTGGTTAGGTGACAGGAAACACTGCAGGATGCTTTTGGCTGTGTCCTGCTCACTATTTCCTTGTTTGTTCTTATCTGCTTTATCAATTGTTGCATAAAAAGATGTTGCAGTTACAACGGGTTTCTTAGTACAAACAGAAGGTTAAGGGCAGATGGTGAATTGTGAGCTCTGAGACAGTGAGGATCTGTGGGAGTTGAAAGGGGGAAGAAATAAAGCACTGATGCTAATTCACACCAAAGCTGCATTGGGAAAAAGAGAGCCCTGTGCTTTTTAGTGTGCCAGCTTTTCTCTAACCTGTGCTGGCTCCTACTATCATTTCCCCATGGGTTTTCTGCCACTTCTCCTAACAGCAGGAGGTGCAGTAGAAGCTCACTCTCTGCCCAGGAGAGTTGCTGAGCTGAACCCTAATCCGAGTCCTGCATAGAGAGCTGAAACACAAATTGTGTCCTGAGTGGAAATCATAGAATCCTTGAATGGTTTATGTTGGAAGGGACCTTAAAGACAAGCTAGTTTCAACCCCCCTGCCATGGGGGGTTGAAACCTTCCACCAGCCCAGGTTGCTCCAAGCCCCATCCAACCTGGCCTGGAACACTCCCAGGGATGGAGCAGACATAGCTTCCCTGGGCAACCTGTGCCGGTGCCTCACCACCCTCACAGGGAAGGATTCCTTCCCAGTATCCCATCTATCCCTGCCCTCAGCAAACCAGGCTGGGTTTATTAAGTGGCTTGCAGTGATCAGGCTAATTAGGTAGTGGAGGTGCAGTGAGAGCCACAGTGTGGATCCCTCAGCCCCTACTTGAAACACTGTGGCTAGTGTTGTGGCCAGTGGGGCCAGGGAGGATGAACCACCACTGGGTTTGTGTCCCAGCAGGTCTGTGACAGAGAAAGGACAATATTAACAGGACTTCCCCCAGTGTTAATGTCACTGCACCTGATCCAAATGAAGTATATCTGGTTTTATGGTGAATTTGAAGAGCTGTTTTGAACACTGAACTGACACAGAGGCTGAATCCTATGTCCTTAGAGCTAAGGGAAGAGCAGGATCCATAGAAGGCTGAGCAGTCCCTGCCTTTGCTTGGTGCTCTTTAAGCACCTCTACAAATACAAGACTGTCCCAAAGTCACCACTCTGACAGCCTCACTATGTCTTACATGTTCCATCAGAATGGTCTGACTCGCCACAGGGAAGTGATTTCTTCTAGTGTGTTTGGTTTGTATGTTTTTTTAAATACATCTTCTTTTAAGCATTGCCAACCTGATCTCCATCCATAGCATGTACACCCACAGCCTCTTGGCTGAGATCTTGTTGGGAGTTTTTGTTTTTAAGGAGGGTTCACAGGACTTGTTTACTTATTTATTCCTTTTTAATTCTCTGAGATGGCTACATCTTAAAAATATTCTGGATTTCTAAAGAAATAAATAATTGGCTGCTCTGTGCTTCAATATTGTGGCTAATTTTAAGGGTTTTGAATGGTTTTGTAGGAACATAATTGAAGGCACCATCAATTTCTGGACCAGGCTGGTGTCAGAGCTCACTGTGGTGGTCCTTCCAAGCATTGGCACAAGCTCCTGTCAGACCTCTAGGGCACAGCTAGGACAAGATTGGTAATAAATTCACTAAGCCTTTCCAGAGGGAAAGGCTTGTGAGTTATATACAGCATCTTCTGGGGAGGAGGAGGAGGTGGCTCATGGATGGGAATTAATTAGCAGATGGAAAAATAAGAGCTCCAAACTCCACACTTGATTAATACATAGACAGGGGAATTGGGAGCAGAAGACAAAAGACTCTGAAGCAGAGAGTGCTCCAGAGGAGGTGAGGAATGTATTGAATGAAAGCTGAAGGAATTGCACACAATAGGATGGCAGGGACTGGGGAGACAGAAAACTGCTGACATGGCAGGGGATGAGTTGTGGTTTGTTCCCGTTCCTCCCTCGTCTCCTGCAGGTAGGGAGTGAGTAGGCAGAGACTCCAATTTAAAACCAAGACCCCAACATGACTGTATTTTATTTCATCAGCTTTTACCATTGTGTCTTCTCCAGACAAGGGAAATAAACTCAGCTTAGAAGGTCACTGCCATTAATTAATTTGAATTTGGGGCAGTGCTCTAGATCTGCTCCCACAGTTACTTCAGCTGTGCTGCTGGAGTCCGAATAGACAGTGTTTTTCCCTCTTTTTTTTTTTTTTGGCATAGACTTTGGAGAGCATTAGGCAAAAGTATTATGGCACTCTAATGACATTTCCCAGCATTCCATGAGTACAAATGCTTCAAATAATTTGGGAGCCAATTCTATTTCAGAAACTAATCCAACTGTACTCAGCAGCACAGCAGCCAAAACAGTCTGAAACACTAAAGCCTCTTCCTTCTATGGGTTTAGCAGATGAATCGAGAGGGGAGTCAATACAAAGAGGTAACTATTTGCCAGGGGAGTTTTCTGCCATGGAATTATCTCCCTGGGAAAAATGTCATAAGCAAAATATTTAAATATATGCTAATGTCTGTTTTAAATACTACTGTGATGATAAGTAGTTCTCTCAGAGGGCTGGTGGTGATCTGTCCTGCTCGGAACCTTTTGTTACAGCAGAGTCTGATTGATGGTTTTTATTTAATCCAGTATTTGCATTTCCCATGTGAGATCCCTGAAGCAGTTCCCCATTTCAGGTTGGATATTAAACTGGAGGTGCAACTGTTCAAGGAGATTTTGTATGAAGGCAAATAGTCATCCAAAGGTGTGTGGGGTTGTGGTCAGTACATTCCATGCCAGGTCTGGTTTATTATGTGTGTGTTGTATCCCATGGTTCAGACCAGGAAGTTCATATCCCAGACAGGCATACAGCCATGGGGCTGAGTCAGGCAGGGATGGGGATCTGGTCCCTCTGGATCACGACTGTAGCACAGCAGAGTTGCACTGTCAGTCCAGGGTGAAGAACGAGACTGAGGCAATGGAGCTCTGTTCTCCCTGTATAAATTCCCTAGAGGTGATGAGCTGTGGAGAATAATGAGCCTAAGGCTTATTTAAGCTAAGCCTGAGGCTAATTTAAACTAAGCCTCCAAGGCTGAACATTGTTGGCAGCACCTGGAGCTGAGGAAATACAAAAACAACTCAGTACTGCTCACACCTTCCCTGCCTTGTGGTGTGTAACCTGTTTGGGCTTGGGATCCTGTCTCAGGCTGAATGCCTGAGATTCCAAGTGTGCCAGAGCCATTAAAGCCTGGGCATGGCCTCCCTGTGCTGTGCCATGTCCTGAGTGGTGCTGCCATAGCCTCCCAGCTGCTCCACTGGGTGGGCACAGCAGAACAGAGGCAGTGTGGCCTCCTGACGGAGGGTGCCCAGCATTGAAATGACATTTAATTTGTTGAAATCTGGTTTAGTTTTACTTTGCATCCTTACAATGCACTTATAATCCAGTACTCCTCTTTCAGAACTGTATGGATTGGGAGTGGGTGAACTCCTGTTTCCACATTTTCACTTAAAACACAGAGTTTGTTGGATGGAGAAGGCTGGCAGAAAGGCTTGTGGTGGGGGCGGGAGATGCTGTGAGCAGGAAAGAAGATGAAAGGTCACATATTTGAGATGGAAGGCAATGCAGAGTGTGACTTTTGGGGTGAAGGCAAATTGCAAAGGGGTGAATTAGGAGGACACATCATTCATCAAATTACCTGAAGAAAAATACAATAGTGAGAAGGAGAATAAAGATGAAAGGCTGAGATGGACAACAGTGAGCGGGTAAGGCAAGGAGAGAGGAAGAGAAGGTGTTAAGGAATAGGAATCATAGAATCCCAGACTGGTTTGGTTTGGAAGGGACCTTAAAGCTCAGCTCATTCCACCCCCTGCCATGGGCAGGGACACCTTCCACCAGCCCAGGGTGCTCCAAGCCTTGTCCAACCTGGCCTGGAACACTCCCAGGGATGGAGCAGCCACAGCTGCTCTGGGCAACCTGTGCCAGTGCCTCAGCACCCTCACGGCCAGGAATTCCTTCCCAATATCCCATCTAGCCCTGTCCTCTGGTAGTGGGAAGTTATTCCCCATTGTCCTGTCCCTCCAGGCCCAAGTCCCAAGTGCCTCTCCAGCTCTCTTGGAGCCCCTTTAGGCACTGGAATGAGGCAGCCACATCTTCTCTGGGCAATGTAGATTATATGTTGACATGGCTGCTCATAAATGGGACTCAAGCAGAGAAGGGAATGTCCACAGGGAAGTTGTTCTGGTGTTGGACCCCTCACTCCAAACACTCCTGTGCTACCTGCGGCAGAGCTCGTGCTGCTGTGGCAGTGCATCATCGTCAGGAATATTTTGTATCAGCAGAGAGATAATGAGGACCATCAGTGGTTAGCAGTTGGCAGCTACATGCCTGGCAGGAAAATTTGCTGGTGGAAACATCATTGTTTCCAAATAGCTGTTTCCTGCTTGGAATCGAGTTTCGGATTTTCAAGTTTGGGGAATTGAAATTCTTTCTGTCAGACTGCAGGTTTCCATGAATCCTGAGCAAAGCAGGATGGATAAAACAGCTCAGATCCTGCATTTTGGGAAAGCCATCGCTTTCATCAGCAGAGTCTGAACCTTCATGAGGTTCAGGAGAGTAGTTTGGAGTGAGTGGTTGGGAACTGGTGAGCACAGGGATGTCTGGAAGTCAGCACAGAGGCACTGGTGACCTGTGGATATTGCTTGGCTGTGGAGTTTGTGGACCAGGGTGAATAGTTGTCATTCATCATGTCATCCCCATGGGACTTTCTTTCCTTGGTTGGGAATTCAGATTGATGAAGTAAAAATTGTTCGAGGAATGGTCCCAGCTGAAGCTGTGATGGTATGACCTTGCTCTTCATGCTCCAGTGTCCCACGCAACACTGTCCACCCTGCCCCCTGGCTAAACAGCAGCTCAGTTTTAAATAGC